CTCCAGTGTGCTCATGTATCTGTATTTCTGTCCGTAGGTCTGCCTGTGCCTGATAAGACTAAATTAAGGGGCTTTTAATCCGAGGCTCTTTTTTTTTTTTCTTCTTTTTTTCCCATGTGAGAAATAATTATTGCTGTGTCCCGATGAAGTTGTTTTAATGAGTGATCATGTCTTTCCAATTACCCATCATGGCCTGATTTACCCAAAAAATCTTATCTGAGGTTTCTGTCAGTATCATTCATTTTTATGCCATTTCATTAAAATTTGTTTAAATTAGTTTTGTTTTCTTTGCTTTATCTGTTTGTTTGTTTTTTGTAGTCTTTTTGTTTTTTTTATTTCCTTTTTTTTTCTTTAGCTTACTTCCCAATTTTGCTTTTTGGCTTTACTGAGTGGTCAAAAAGTAAAAATATGGAATTCTCTTTAATGTTAGGTTAAGAAGAGCAGAAAAAATACCTGATTTAATCCTTCTTTGCTCTTTCATTTTCTAAAGGGCAACAGTCCAGCGCCTTGATTTCTATAAAAACTGACATTTCTGATTTACCACATCATATTTTAATATTTTGGTTTTGTCTCGTACCGACTAGAAGCATTTCCCCAAAAGTGAAAGGATCCATTACTAGAAATAACTTTTAGAAGCTCAATCGCTGTTGAACTGCTGGTGTCCTTCAATGTTTGTTGCTGTTTTCACATTTGGATGTTTTTCTTCTGAAAGTTAACAACAAAAAAAAACTTGAGCTTTAAGTCATGAGTTGTCAAATATTTTTGAGGAAATAATATACTTCGAGGAACATCTAAGATTTTAGATCTTTGTGCTTTCATAATTAAGTGTTAAGTCAGCAGTCTTATCGCTCGTTAAAACCTGCGTGTCATTAATCAGGTCCTTCTGTCCCTCAGGTGTGTCTGAAGTGCAGAGCTCCAGAGGTTTCTCAGTGCGTCTTCCAGAGCTACGAGGCTGTGCTGAAGAACTGAGCGAACATCCGACCGTCCGCTGCGCTGCGTCGACCTTCTGGCACCTTCTTCTGCCCTTTCTCAGCAACACGTCGACCAGGTTGCAACCTGGCGCAGTGCAGAAACGCCGTCCTGCAGTCATATTGTCTTTTCAGTAGATGGCCTCAGCTGTAACCAATCAGAGCAGCACTTTTAGTTCCCGAAAAGACAGCGCCAATTTCAGGCTTTCTATCTCTTAATTATGTTTAGTTCAGGATTTTCATTTTGAGCTACATGATTCGAACATCTCCAGTCTTTCTTCCCTCTCCCTCATAATGACCCATATTCATTAAGGGCCAGACGGCGGACTGACGTCTGTCCTTGTGACTTTCTCTGCATGAGGCTCTGCAATCATTTTCTAGCCCCACGTCTCTGCAAACTTCAGTCTATTTTTAGCACCTGCAATCAGCAGGTGAGCCATCAGCTTCAGTATATTTATTTAGGGGTGCATTTAAGATGAGGTGCAGTAGAAAGAGGCCTGTGTCTGGTGGACACATAATTACTTAAACTACACTATAGTGATTTTTATAAAGTTTTCTTTAGTATCTTTACGGAGCGGTGGATTTGGATCTACTACTGTTTCTCAAAGCTGAATGTCTGTCTGACGTGTGCATGGAAATCTGTGTTTCTTTTGTTTTTGTTTTTTTACATCAATATCTTGACTTTTAGAGACTAGCAACAGGTGTCGGCTCACTGCTCTCGTGCTTAGTCATTCCATGGTTTAATTTGTGTTTTGTATTCTCCCTGTTAGTGTTCATGCAGCAGGCTGGAAGAGAGCCTCAGGGTGATAGTTTTCTTTTTTTTTGGTTTTAATATGGCCCGTCAGTTCCTGCGTCAGTGGCGGCCTCTCGGGCTCTCTGCCACTCTGCTCTCGCTTCCTCTGAAACCTCGCTGCAGCTCTCCACCGGACATGAAGGCCCAGGTGACACAAACTAATGTTGTCATTTGTTACAGATAAAAGCATACGTGTCGTAGCACAGTCTCACCTGAAAGAAGGCTAATTGGATTTGTTTTCCAAGTCGTCACTCTGAAGCCCTTTGTCTCTTCGGCATGAATGCGCCTCCTCTCACTACTTTATGAAAACAGAGGCTGTGCATTCTGTGTGTGTCCCTTTTGTGTGTGTTGACGGATGATTCATATGGCATATGCTGTGTTAATTAATCAGATGTTTAATCAGAGGTTCTTGATTTACTTGATTTTGTCGTATGTGTGTACGTCGTTTGGAAAAAAAAGCAACAAAAAAAACCGATTAAAGTCCCCTGACGAATCCACGTGGTTCTTGTTTCTTCTCCTGACATCCCAGGTTATCGTAGGATGTAAAGCGTTTCCTCAGTTATTTGCTCGGTAAGGTTCACATTTTTATAAACCTCTGGTTTGTTTTCCCACCGCGCTTCGTAACAACCAGTGACCTTTAAGACGTCCATGACTCTGCTCTCAGGTCACCAGCTGCCAGTGTTGCACACTTGATGCTCAAACATGCAAACACAACCCTGAGCTCTCTGCCCAGCACCTGGCGGCCTACGCAAGGATTCATACAGCTTGAACTTTTCCACATTTTGTCTTGTTACAATCACTTAACACAACCTAACACATAATTATGAAAGGAAAGAAAATTCAACTTTCATTTCCAAAAAAATGCTTTATTACAAAAAAAATAAATAAATGTGAAGTGATCAGTTGTGTTCAGTTCCCTTCACTGATGCTCTTAAATAAGATTCAGTGCAACCGGCTGCATTTATGCCTTACCCCTTGAATCCACCTCTGTAGTTTGAATGAACCTCCAGCTCTTCTGTGAAGTCCTCAGAGGTTTGTTAGAGAAGCAGCGACATCTAGAAGACAAAGCAATGCCAGATGGATTTAGCTTCTACAGCACTTTGTTACTTGGGCAACGCGACGCGCGAAGCTTTTACTCCAGCCACGTTCACCCGGTCACACTCTGGATATTCACATTGATTCACCAGTCAGTAAGCACCTAACGGGGTGAGTTCCTGGCACAACTTGAATGGCACAATCAGAGTCCAGATCAATACACTAAAGTAACCCTGACTTGTCCATAAACACCCAAATTAGTTTCACTTAGAAAATGCAAAAACCTCAGTCTAGTTATGCAGAATATTGATCGATCTCAGATTTGTACTTTTAACCTAAATATAAAAGCCTTGTATTCTCCTTCCACCTAACGATTATGTGCTACTTTCTTTTGGTTTATTCTGTTATGTTGTGGTAGGAATTTGACAGAATATAAATAAACTTGAGTGGCATGAATATCACTGCAGGCCACTGAACTCTCCACTGTAGCTGTGGCTCTTCGAAGCAGCAGCCAAGGTGTGTCTTAAAGTCCAAAGTGCTTTTTATGTGTAACCAGGATTTCTGCTGGTTGAACTGATGTGAAACGCAAACATTCAGACTGTGAGGGAGAAATGTCCCTGTACATCCAGCAACAGAGAATCAGCGGCTGGTAAAAAGTCAAACACAAAATCTGTGATAACTATCATGTTCTGTTAGCAGGAGAATCTGATATTTATCATCTGTTACACAAGCAACCCGATAGGGGGCGCCAATTCGCCTTCTCAATCGAAAAGCAGAAATCCTTGTTTTAATGAGAACCAGGAGGATAGTCCACCGTTTCTGATGCTAAAAGCCGCAAAGTATCGCATCGCCTCTCCTGACATGGAGTTTACTCCCAGCAGCCATTTAAACATCTTTTAAATGTTTTATGACGCTCCAGTAAGATGGGCAGGTATGTGTTCATGGAGAGCAGAGAACAGCAGATGATATTTTGAGCCAGCAGTGTGACTGTCCTCATGTCATGACGGACTGAGGATTTGAACTGAAAGAAGCTCCTGAGTTTAAATAGAAGTCGCTCCTGCCCTGATGTTCAAGCGAGGCCTTCTGGCGAGAGGCTTTATGCTCAGGAAGAGAAAAAGACCCGAGTGAAATGGGAAGATGAGAAGAACGTTCTCATAACGTTAATATGAGGCTTTGAAACTGAACTTCTATTAACAGGCAAGCACGGCGGCGGAGGCGTTATGCTGTGGGAAAGAACAAAAGTGGATGACGTAAATAAGGCGGACGGCCTCCGTGTTACTCACCTCAACAAGACAGCTGGAACTTAAGGTTCGTTAGGAAAAAAAAAAGTTTACGGCAAATTCTTCGAACCTTTCCAACCAAAATTCCCAGTTTTCCAGAAGGAAGAGTTCAAAAACTCGACTTGTATATTTAATCGAGGCCCACAATGAGTGAAATTACTGCAAAGTGTCTCCAAGTGCTGCAGGACTTTTCACAGCTCGGTTTGTAATCCTGCTACAGAAATGTCAATTAAACACCAGCTCAAAGTGTAAAAGTTTACTCCTGTCAGAACCTCCTCTTTAGTAACTTAGAGGCGCGTGATGATTATTTTATTTATTTTTTTTCCTAGACTGGTTCTCTGAGTGGAGCTGGAGGTCTGCTCAACCTCCAGACCCCAACCAGCAGCTCATAGGTCACACAGAGATGTGACGTTCAGCCTGCATGACCCCCGCACCGTGTTGCTGTATGGTCCTGGATGTTGATGTGTGTGTGTGTGTGGTGGTGGTGGGTGGGGGGGTGCGTGGTGTGTGAGAGAGAGAGAGCGTGCGCGCGCGCGCTCTTGTGTGGCCTGCTCCTTTACCGTGTATTCCGCGACGTTATGGGAACACCGCGCTTTCACACGCGTTTTGCGCACGACCTGATCCTATTGGATGAGCAGTGCAGGGGATGTTAGTGATGATGGAGAGAGAGGCTGGAGGGAGTGGGAGGGGGGGAGTTCCTGTCTCTCCAACGGCAGACGCACGGCGCTCCTGATCGCACTCTAGATGCCTTTACAGCAGACGCACCTCTGTCGACTGTGATGATCGTTCCCCTCCCTCCCTTGCGCAGCGGAAGGTGAGAAGACTCCGAGGTTTAATGCCATTGCAGAACACGTGGAGAGCCTCTTTACTAGTCCCCGCGGCCGTGCGCCTCCCCCGTCCTCCCCCCCGCTGCCATGGAGGAGCGCGCAGGCGGTGGTGCAGCGCTGGGGAAAATGAGCGAGAGGTGCAGAGGAGGCGATCAATGAAGGCGCGGAGAGCTCCTGCGCGTCTTGGCAAGGTCGGAGCCGAGCGTGGATGAGATTATGTCCGAGTGGCGACGGCAAGGACGGACTTTTCTGCTTCCTCTCCGGGGATGCCCCCTGAAAAAAACAAAAAAACAACAACAAGAGTTTGTCTCTCAGAGGCGACGAAGAGCCCTTTGCCTCCGTTTGCGCGATCATGCTTGAGCCTGTATTTGTGACAACCTCTTGTCGCTCCCGCCTGGGAGGTGAAGTTTCCTCGCTTTGGACGATTTGTCGGTTCTGTCGCTCGCTGCCGAGGCTTGCCTAAGGTGATTTAGAGGCTGCAGCAGCAGCAGCAGCTGCAGCGGGGAATCCAGCTGTGTTTACTGGACGGTACGCATCTGCCGCTGTCGCTGTCCATGGTGCTGAATCCGGGCTCCAGGAATGGTGGAGACGCTGAGTATCGCAGTGATCGGTGCTCCCGGAGTGGGCAAAACTTCTATAATCCGCCAGTTCATCTATAACGATTTCTCGGAGGCATACACGCCGACCAGGAGCAGATATGTATACAGACCCTCCGTCATTCTGAACGGGAACATGTATGAGTTAAAGGTTTTGGACGTCCCGCCAATCTCCTCCTTCCCAGCAAGTGCCAGTCAGGTAATGTGGCTCACTTTAAGCAGATGTTTAACCCCTAAAGGATTCTACTTTAGCCTCGCAAGGCAGATCACTCAATCCAGGATGAACTACACACGCAAACACACATTCATACACGGTATGTCTTTCTTTTTTTTCCACAAGGACTTCACATTGATTCTCATTCATTTTTCATTCACTTCTTTGAGCCTGACCTTTACCCTCAATCTAACCATTTCCAGTGTGTTCCTAACCCCTAATCTTAATCTAAACTCAAGTCATACCTCAGTCCTAAACCCAAACCCTAACATAAAAACAGCAGTGCTTCTTTTGGGGTCCTGGCTTTGGGCCCCATCAGAGGCAGTTGGTCCCTTCAAGGCAGAATTTGTTAGGAAAATGGTCCTTAAACTGTAATAAAAACAAGGCGACACACACACACACACACACACACACACACACACACACACACCACACACACACACACACACACACACACACACATTTTTTGTTTTTAACTCAAATCTTGATGAACTAATCAGCATCTCCTGGCAGCTGCAGCCAGATGACAAAATGAGAATCTTATTTATCCCCTTTTCACTATCAGATGCCTTTACTAGTTGCTATGGAGACTGACTTAAAGCCTCGGAGCATCACTTTGTAAACTACACCCCCTCATGAGGAAATTATACATTTTCTAATCAATCACGAGATTCGTCTTTGGTCGATTTCCGACTACAACACGGCAGCGCTCGGCGTCAGGTGCATTCAGATGAGCTGATGATAGGATGTCGCTGCTGCATCTATTTAAACTCTCTGTGAAAAGACAGAGCAGACTGGCCTTTCATCCACGGCCAGGGGTCATCTGCTACCTCTGATTAGTAGAACAGGCGTTTGAATGAAGGGATACGGCGAGAGCCTCCTCTCGCCGTATCTTTCTGTGTTTTGCTTTACTTTGACATTTTAAAAGCAACCGAATGTCCTTTAAAGTTTCTCCTTGCTGTTGCCAATCACTCAAATGAGTGTATTTAAAATATTGCCTGTCGCAACTATTTCCAGTGATGTTTTGGTACTTGTTCTTTGATGAAAACAACAACAACAAAAAAACATTAAAATTGAAGAACATAGATTTTGAAGTTTCAATAATTTGAATTAGTTTTATTGAGCTTTAAAAAAACTTAAAATAAAAAATCCTGAGCGCCAATCCTCCAAGTCTTAAATCCCGTCTTTATGCTGCCGTTCCTCTAGTGTGGAAACACAAAGAGGGAATTTAGAGGAATTTAGACAGCTTAGAGAGAAACCTGCTTTATGTGTCAAAACCAGACTTCAAATAACCATGAAACATTTCTCTGTTATTCTCCATACATACAGTGCTTTGCAAAAGTTTGATACCTCCTGAACATTTTCACGGTCGTTTTTCAACCACAAACTTTACTTTGTTTCATTAGGATGTTGCTTAAAAGACCAAGAAAAAAATGGCGCATAAACATCAAAATAACAACAAATAAGGCTGTTTTCCAAAACGGTTTAAGGATCTGAAAAGTGTGTCATGCATTTGTATCCAACCCACCTGATTCAGTATCTTGTATTTTGACTTTGACTGGATCACGGTGCCACAGGATGACACGTTAACAAGCAGTATTACTGTAGCTGTGGCTTTACCTTTAGGGTCGTTGTCCTGGTAGAAGGTGAACCAAGGCCTAAAACTCAGCGTATCAAGAATCAAACGGATTTCTTTAGTGATTTTCAGATGTTTAGCTTTGTCCTTGTTCCTGTCAAATCTGGCATGGCCTGTCTCTACAGAGGAGAAGCATCACCACGGATTCTACTACGATGCTACCAACTCCGTGTCTCAGCGTGGGGACGGTGAGGTGAAAGAGTTTGACTTCAGTCTCATCTGGCCCGAGCATCTTTGCTATGACTTGTGGAAAACTGCAAATGAAACTTATTTGAGCTTTTTTTTCCCCAGCATTGTCACTCCACCTTTAAGGCCAAATATCTGGAAAGCGCTATTGATCGTTGTACTGTCAACACACTCTGCAATGTTCGCTGCAGTTCTCTGCAGATCCTCCAGAATGACCATGAGCTTCTTGGCTGTGTCTCTGAATTATCAGTGTAGGTGGGTGGCTGTATCTTGCAGTTGTGCAACACTCTTTCCATTTTCACATGAGGATTTTTAGTGCACTGACAGATATTGAAAACCTGGAATATTGTTGCGTAAACTGCTTTAAACATCTCCACTGCTTTACATCTGAGCTGTCTGATGTGTTCCTCCATGATGCTATTTGTCCTCCAACAAACCTCTGAGGACTTCGCAGAACAGCTGGATTTAGAGTGAGATTAAATTACACGTGTGTAGATTTGGGTTACAATTTCATTGGGTTGATGGGGATTTTTTTTTTTTAAGTCTTAGAGGTTAAACACAAATTGGCACCACACTTCCAGCTACTTTAGAGGTGACCTTGTCTAACTTTACAATGGATGTGGACATATTATTAACTCTCTCTAATAGCCAGTCAAATGTGTCTTCACCTTGCACCAAAGATCACCTCCCGTCTGCGTCGTTTGCAGGGTGTGTGTGACTCTTGTCTGCGATGACTTTCATCAGAGAAAGTCTCCCAGGTCAGCACACCAACCTGACAATTACTGCAGCAGAAAATGTCCTCTTTTCTCTCAGCTTCACTGATAGTTCCTGCAAGAAAAGCTGTGGCTATCCGACAGGGTGGGAGTCAACAAACGAGCAGCTGGTGGCGTGTGGGCTGGCAGAGGGGCCCTGAGCAATCCACCTGTCACAGTTACAGCTTCTCTTCCACACCTAATGTTTCATCAAAAGGTGATAAGAGGTCAGACGTCCCCTGTGTGCCACCAACAGAAACATCTTATAACGATTCGTTCTGCTAAATGTTGCCGCTCGGAGAACACGAAGGTGAATGTGAACAGAAAGCAGGAATAAGACGAGATGAGTCTCTTGGGGTTAAACTGTCCCTAAACGTTGAGTCGCGTCAACAAGCTTCTGGCGTATCAGTGTTACCGAGTCGCTTTTGAGAACATCAACTGAGTGCTACTGTCACATTTCCAAACCTGGAAAAGTCTGCTCTCTGCTCCTGTTGTGTCCTGCTTGTCCTCACTTTGGTGATGTCCTCTGGTCACAGGCGGAGCTCTGACTGGGTTGTGTCTGAGTCACTGTGTCTGTCTGCATTGACCCCATCAGTGGAGACGCGTATCCCGAATCAGGGGCTGTGGGTACACTGAGCAGCACAAAGAACAGCGATTGAAATTTACTCGCAGCATGTAGCAAATTGAATTAAAGCACCGTTCCCAGTTACAATACTGCAGGGAATAGACCACTGATGGAGGTCTGAGTGGCTGCAGTCAATTAGACATTTTCCAAAGAGCTTAATGGACACCATCAGAGTAACAGTGACCGAGCGAGGAGTAATCGGTCCTCTGAAATTTGTGATGAATAAGCTGAAGGATGCATTGAGTCAGTACGCCTCCATGCTGATGCAGCCTGGCAGGTTTTCATCATCTCAGATTGTATGTAAAAGGCTACTTATGACCCGGTTTCCACCAGACCTTCATGCTTGCTATAGTCCCAGATTTCTGTTATTGTACTGAGATGGTTTTGTCGTCTGTTTGCTTCGCAGAATGCCTGTTTGCTGATAGTGTAGCTTCTAGGGGACAGCTGTCACAGTGCGGCCATAGGATGTGGTGACAGATGGATTTAAGCTTGATGGAGCCTTCAGCACGACGGGTCTTGTCTTGTTCTGTCTCTTATTGTTCGCTCATTCTTCCTTTGTGCCATATCTCCATGACTTCCACCCACTGACGATGCTCCCTCTCCCTCTCTTGCTGCTCTCTGGACAGTTTCTCAGTTATCTCTCTAAATGCTCACTGTGTGAACTGTGCAGAAATTAGAGCATTTTATGTAACATGTTGTGTCATTTGGACTTTTGTGGAAGCAGTTGGAATATGTACCCATCTGCGAAGAGATTCACAAGTTATCTAAAAGCTTCAAAGAAGGCAACTTATTTCTTTATTTTTACGACAATCTTTGTCTTCTGTTTCGTAACTCTTTGCACGTGAAACAGCTCAGCAAAGTTTTGAGATCAATAGTTTCTGCTTTCTTTTGCAAGCTACCATGCTTCCCACAGACAGAGCAGTGCGACTATGTTTCTACCAGAAAAGGTTTGTTTTCATCCGAGTTTGGCCTTGTTGTTGCAGATGGGTCAGAACTCCATGCAGAGCATTAAACCATCAGCATCTTTCCAAAATTTGCTGAACTTCAGATAGAAATACACTACCCACAAAAAGACAGGCAGATTCAGCTTTTGAGGGAAACGTTAGGATGATCCTAAAATGCACCCTTGTAACTTAATGTCCAGCTATTCAAATTTTCAGTACTTTTCACACAACCTGCTGCTCTCATTTGCAATGAGCAGTAAAACTGACAACAGGTGTTTGATCCATGAACCAACTAATACATTTCCTGGTTCAATCAGAGCTGGTACTTAAGAGCAGGCCTCCTCATCAAGCTGTTCACGCTTTGACATCATCTCAGATGGAACTGAGCTTAGAGAGCCACAGAGTGTCGGCAGCCGGTTGTAAGAGAGAGAGAGACTGGGAGAGTCTCCGAAGTGGACGTCCTTTGGCCACGTCCCACACTGATGACTGCTGCCTTGTGTACAGTGCAGCACAGAGTGATGAGCGCCACTCAAGGGAGGTGAGAGGCGCCCAAGTGTCACGTCAGACCATTTGAAACTGATTATATCAGTGTGGTCAGTGTTCTATATAACACCAGGACCAGGCGTCGTCTTGCCTGGTCCAGAGAGCGTTTGTGCTGGATAAGGCGTCGGAGACGTCAAGGAGAACGCTGTGCATCAAGTGCTTTGGTGGTGGTGATGTCACAGAGTGGCCAGGTGTGTCTCGTGAACAGAGGTGTCTTTTGTCCAGGGCTGCGTTAGAATGGATGAAGTGGGCAGAAGGATGTGGATCCAGATCAGACGGAGAGCGTCTGTGAACATTAG